ACATTTTGCGGCGTAGCAACAACTTACAGTAAAGCAGTAAGATTTCGCTTCACCATGCAATATCAGTAATTTCGATGGCATCGAAAATGTTCTTTAAGATCTTAATTTATTCCCTTGATTAAAGCTTTAAGACTTTTTAATACTGTTCACTGAACCTGAAGTCTTAGATAGATGGTGTACGCGAGAGCAATTGTCTTGTAGAGTGATTTGAACTATTGAGCTTTGTAATTATAACTTTAAAGGCTCAGTTTCGGCTTTCAGAGAATTAAAAGATATTCCAAAAACTGTGTATAGAATAAAGTTCAGCCAGTCCTATTACAAGCAAAATAAACAGCATGGGGTTAAAGTGGACCAGAAGTCATTGACTGCCGTGAGATGATTCACTCTTAAAGAGACAAGAAATACGGGAAAGTGTGACGTGGAGAAAATTTCACGTAATTAGGGAAATTGTGATTTGAGATGCTAGTATTTTGCTAAGCTGTTAGATAATCTAAACTAAACTTGGCACGATCTTTAGATACTGTGAGCTCTGCTTTAACTTAGGAATAGCTCTTGAATTATGTCTTAATTTGGCTGACATTTAAGTAAAAAAAATGATCTTACGGACCGTACGTTTTCATATGCATACTGACTAAAGGCCGGGTGTTTTTGGTAAGAGATGAAAACAGGAAATAAAACACAAAAAGACGAAGCCGCGCTTTCCGATGGCGTATAGTGATGGAAACGAGAGGAAACAAAGAGATTGATACATGCAAAAGCCATGAAATTTCCTAACATTATCTATCAAACATTGAGTTTCATTTGAGGTCATTTGCCATGTGCATTTCTAGTAGTAGACGATGGGTCCACAAGCCGCTCGTTCTGCTTTTTGCTGCTACACCATGCTGACGAGACCCAACCAGGTCGAAACAACTGTCCTCGGTTGCAATTCTTGGCTTTCAGTTTGGACTCTATCATGTCGTTGTTTCCGTTAAGTTTTCTACGTAGTTCTCAGCCTTTCTTCATTGTTACCTTAGGATAGAATTTTACTAATTAACAATTAGACCCGTGGCCCTTGAGGGCGAAGGGTCTAATTGTTTTAGTATCACCCAACTAGTCGGACAGAAAAGGCAATAATAAAGTTAGCAAMTGCAAGTTGAAGAAATATTTGTTTGGGAATAAAACGAAAGAAAGCGTCACGCTCGATTGCGCCAATTTCGCTACTCGAGGACTATTACTAATAGTCCTCTACAAGCGTAGCCAATTAAAATGCAGGATTTGCATTAGTCCACCAGTTGGGTGACACTAATACATAGATATGTCAAATTTATGGGAGCCTTGCCAATGTATTGTGAGTCAAACCTAGTTAAGCAATGATCGATCAACAACTTCCTCATTTAATTCATCAATTCACTCATCTATTGCACAATGCTGTGACGTATGACAACCTAACTCACAGCTGAACTTGGCCAGATGGCTTCATTATCTCTTCAGTGTTTGATACACCAAATATGTTGTTAGTTACTTTTGCAGGTCCTAATTTAGTGTTGGGATTTTTCAAAACACCGCGAAATCGAAGGAATCCCGAGGTATGATTAATAACGCGAATTCAGATTAGACTTTACGTCACAATGTCTTTCCCCGAGTCTCTTCTTTTCTCGTCCTTCTGAAGCGAGAGAGACTGGGCGGGCAGAATGAAGAGGAAGTTGGTGATGTCACAGGCTACTGTTTTCCGTTATGAAGAATTCGACGCCAATAATTTGAGATTTGGAAATGGACCAACACGAAATACCTACCGTACCTTCTCGCATATTTAGTAGGGAAGGGAGATCCCCCTTTCCTCGTCCCCCTGTCTGCTCCCAACAGCGTATCGGATTAAGTTTAACCGTGGGGTGCCGATTGACCGTGTCACGTTTCTGGCTGGCGTGCTCCGTTTATTATAGCGTTCCATTGCAGGTACTTAGATTTATTCTGTATATATCCTCAGTCTGGCAAGAGTTGAAAAATTCGACCAGTGATGTCCTGTTCACAGTCTTTCAAGGCAATGGCAGTTTTTCTGGGTTTGGTTAGCCTCTGTCCCGTTTTAACACAAAGCACTCCAGGATACGGTACGTTTGCGCTTATATGCTTTGATTGTTTCTTCGACTACGGACAACTCGATTTGTTAGTTTTCACCCTTCAAGTTTTTGTCGATTCATCAAGATAAAGATGTGCTATATTTTTTCTGCCATCGACTCAATCATGAATTCTATGCATGGCTGGTTTTGTCTGATCTAGGATAACCAGCGATCCATCAATACATTCTGTGTAGCAAATGTTTCTGATCTCGACCCAAACTTTTCTGTTCGTTTTTTAGAGCATATGACTTACTGAGCACAAAGTAAATTGTCGACAAATTGCAGTGTTTAGCTTAGATCGACGTAAATGGGTAACGAGATACCGTCAAAGGTCGTAAGCGCGCAGATGTTTTTGCTTACACGGTTTAATGCAGTGGTTAACAGCCAGTTATTTCTGTTCTGTGTATAATATCCACCGGATCCCAGCGTCTGCTACGAGTGCGGTTGTATCTAGAGAACAGAAGACTTGTATAGTTGTCACGTAAAGTCGCATGTTTTAAGAACTTAATTCAGTTTACTGTGTGATGAAATCTGCGTTGATAAGGGCCTTCGCTCGTTAGTCTAAGTTCATGTAGCTTCTATTGAGCAGAACTTTCTTTAGTCCTGGTCAGACACTTTGATCAATCAAAACGCATATTATTCCGGCCTTTCTATCCAGAACCCATGCAATTCGAAAACATTCATCGCTGTCCCGACTTTACTCTACAATTACAAAAAGTTGGTCAAACGTAGCTAAAGATTATTTTAATTTGTTTTGACTGGAGACTTGGAGCAGACGGATTTTGTTCTTAAAATCCTCCACGCGATTGGAAAAACTAAAAATATGAAAATTAGGGAAAGAAACGAGAAGCGTATGGGCCTGCGCGTCTCGCCGCCAGATCGTTCTTTTTGCTTTCGTGTATTTGGGTCGCACGCTAAGAAAGATTACTCAAACTATTTTGGCAGTTGTTTGTTGCCTTTCAGCGTTACCATGTCATATCTGATATCACGTCCGGTGTTGATAAGGGTGGCAAAGAAGACCCTGATAATACGCAGACCCTCTTAAGAACGGACTACTAAAAAAAACATAGTTTGGGTTTTTGAGGTTCCGGCATCAAAAATTCAATACATTTTATAGAGAACACCGTTTGAATTTCCGAATCTCGGCGACTAAATATTGGGTACAAAGCAATCTTAATGAGACATACTGTACAAAGTTGTTGACGTAATGAAATAATTTTCGACAGCAGGAGCGTTCCGTTTAAACTATTTGTCACGAGCTCTTATTACTCAATCAATGAACTCATCAATCGCTTATTTTAAATGAAAACCAGCTAAACATCCGGGACCTTTCCAGAAAGATCAACTTGTTCTTATTGTTTTTTCGTTTTAACCTTTCATTTCTAAAGGCTAGTTTGTTAAAAAAACTTGCGCAAATAATGTCCATGGATAATATATTTGATAAGACAAAGTGAAATTTGTTATAATCATTGTATGTGCGTGCATCCGTCTTCCGTTCCTTTGTGCGTGAAACAACGGCCTTGTTAGATGGCCTGCACGCTAGCCTTTGAACCCGGGGGGCCTCTGCAAAGTTTTATACGAGGAGGTTCCCCCCCCCCTCGAGGTCCGACCCCTTTAGACAGAAAACGTACCGCTTTTGTATACATTATATTGAAAAAAGGTATTCCTTTCACATGCTTTCATAACTGGCCCGTATTACGAATATAAAACGCCAAAAAAGGTAATTTTCTTGTCATTTTCATGTAGTGCTTAATAAATCAAGTGATAGAGCCATAAGGTGGTTCTGTTCGAAATATTTTAATTAAAGGCCCTTCTCCTTTTTCTTCTCCTCCTCCTCCTCCTTCTTCTTCTTCTTCTCCTTCTCCTTCTTCTTCTTCTTCTCCTTCTTCTTCTTCTTCTCCTTCTCCTTCTTCTTCTTCTTCTT